CCCGCATCGTCCCCGTCTTCGACAAGACTCTAGCTAGCTCAGCCTCGGAGGTGCGCATCACATCGCCTTCTCTCATAGGGAATCGACTGGACATTTGTTTTCTTGATTGAATTGCCTAATGTTTATGCGGGAAAAATAATATCATGCGTATATTGGCGCGTGCATCACGTACATATGGGACAAGAAGAGCTAGCCCTATCATGCATATGCCCCCTTCCTCCCCGCCACGATTTTCGCTCGGGTTGTCCCCACACGCACACTGGGTTGGATCCTCTTCCTCGTCCCCATCAACATGGAAGGACCGCCACGTGGGTGTGTAAAGTCTGTGGGCCCACGTCTCTTGTTGACGTTCGGAGCACCGAGAGATCCTGATCCTCTCTATAAAGGAGCCTCCGCGACTTCCAGAGTCTGAAGCTACCGGAGCAAGCAACCAACACCTTTTCTTTCCACGTCTAGCTTGTCTAATCTGAGCAAGCTTAGCCAGCGTCATACACACACTTGTCTGCGTGCCGCACGTACCGTCGAGCTATCCGAACTGAAATGCAGAGGAGCAGAGGTTGTGCCCCGGGCGGTGAGCACGCCTGGGCAGCGGCTGACGGCGGGATACAGCTGCAGCGCCGGGAGAGGGAGCTGGTGGCGCAGCTGCACGAGCTGCTGTACCCGTCCACGTCCCCGTCTCGGAGCGGCGCGTCCTCGTGTTCTGGTCTTGCGGCTGACTTGTGTTGGGAGCACGGCAGCTCACAGGTGAAGGCAACGGCGGCGTCGTGCGCCGGAGGCAAACGGCGCGGGGGGCGCAAGAGAGTCCGGGAAGATGAACGGCACGAGGAGGGGCAAGGACACCGCGGCGGTGCTGCGACTGCGACGAAGGCTACTACTCGTTGCAGGAGGAAGAAGCAAGGGGCGACGACGACGACGCTCGTCACGACGGTGCCGGATTTCGACGGCTACCAGTGGAGGAAGTACGGCCAGAAGCAAATCGAAGCGGCCAAGCACCCCAGGTAAACAATTTCATATTATTAGTACAACATTTGCTATTATTCAGTTTCTTAAACATGTAGCCCTGCCGTACGTACTACTCTTTCTCATCTTCTTCTTCCACTCCGGCAGAGCTGGCCGCCGGGGTAGAGCGAGCCCCTGCCCCCCTGATGTTTTATTTTTGAACCCCCTGCTTCCTGATGTTAGTGTGGCGGTGGTAGCAATTCGAGAGATGGCGGCGGCGGATGGTGTGCTGGCTGCGATTGTAGAGAAGGGCCTCGTTAATAATGGTGGAGGCGGCATAAGATTTTAAGTTGGAAGGAGAGGGTGAGGATTAGGGTTGAAAGAGAAGGAAAATCACAACCATTTATTCTTATAACTAATGAAAGGCTGAAATGACTCATGACCCAATATTTCGCCCATGACAGGTCACCCTTCAATTTAACGACTAAGTATAGTACTCCATCGCATGCATGCATGCTTTAACCAAGAAGATTAAGTACTCAATGGTTTCGCTAAACTTAGAAATGACGATTTAAGAATTTTTACACTCTCTATCAAAACGTGGAAAGCCATGCAAAGGAGCCAATCAACCAAACTAGCTAAAATATGCCATTTCCAGACCGCTCGCTGTCCGTATGGATACGTGCACCCATCTCCCGACAGTGATTCATCAGTTGGGACCCCCTTCATGTACCCGTGATACACGATGATACATCTGGCATCGATGGCATCATCATGCGTACGTCCAGCAAGAAGACGTATGATGCTTACGCATGCTCGGGTTAATTAATTAAATTGAAACTATAACAATGACTAAAGCTAAATCGCTCTTCCATCAATGGCAATTTGCAGGAATTACTACCGGTGCACCAACAGCACGAACCAGGGCTGCCCGGCCAAACGAACGGTGCAGCGCAATGACGATGACGGCAGCGACGATGGACGGCCGAAGTATACGGTGGTGTACATCTCGGAGCACAGCTGCAAGGCGACCGAGTCGGCGGCCGTGCCGGTGATCCTCGAGACCACCGTCCGCACCGACACCGCAGCAGCTCCAGACGTCGCCGTCGTTCCCGGTAGCAGCTCTGGAGCTATCAGTTCTGAGACTCAATCGCCGGCAAGCTCCTCGGATATCACATGGAGCAGCGGCGGCAGCGACGGCGGTGCCAATGTGCCGCCGAGAGAGCGCGACGATTACTCGCGTCTGTTCGCTATCGAGGATGACTGCTGGGGGTGGAACGCGTCGCCGCCGGCACCCGCTGCTGCTGCTGCGTTGCTCCAGGAGATGGACTTCGACGGGCCTATCAGGTCGCCGGTGCACGTCGCGGCAGCGGATGGAAGTTGGATTAACGACTTGTTCGTGAACGAACCACCATTTGTTCTCAACAGCTGCCATTTGTTTGGCCTCTAGATCTTTAGATCTTTGTAGATGTTCATTATTGTCTATCCTTTTTTTCTCTCTATTTAATCACTCCAAGTTGAATTTCCTATTTTTTGTTTTGATGCAGTGAAATAAAAAGGGACTTGTATAATGGTACACAACTTGTGCCTACATGCATCTATATCACAAGCCACCTTAACTAGGGTTCCGCCGCGCCACTTTCTATCTTACTAGAGCATAGACCTCACTGACGCCTGATGGCACCACCTCATCCTCGTGATCTCCTCTTGGGCAGAATGTTGCCACCATTTTCCGCTGCAACCCTAAGGAGCAAGGTTTCTACCCGCCTCGTGGTTCTTATTCCTGAGCCAGCAGATGGTAGGACTTCGATTTAACATGTTACTACGGTTACCGCTCCTCAACTTTGCCGCCGTTACTATATCAGTACTAATTTCTCAGTTTGTGATCTCATACACAGGAACAAAGTGTCCAAAGACTGGGATTTAAATCAAATACTAAAGAGAAACAACTAAAGACGGTGACCATCATCATCCCATGCATACGAGTGGAACTCGTATGAGCTCACAACAACGCGTTGGCCCAGTTCATCAGCACTGAGGCATGGCTCTAAAGGACCTTGACCTTCACTCTCGCAGCCGCATACATATCCACCGAGGGCGTATGAATTCACACCTGGATCGAGACAGATCGACGGGTTGCCCCATCAAAGCATTGACTTAAACCCCAAGACTCTTGCTCGACAATCCAAGCTTTGAGAGTAGGTGTGGGAGCATGTCCTTGGGCAAGCCCGCTACCGTGTGGCTCAATCATGATTGGGCATATAAATACTTTTGATAATGGTGGTAACCGACAGGCACACAGATACTCAGGATTCACCGAAGCGCCGCATCCCATCGCTCAACAACCATTCCCTGCTCTAGTGAACTCTGACTTTGAGAACACATATCATACACAGGTTGCGATGACATGCGTAAACAGATTGAATATCACAACACAAACTCGGATTTAAGGATACACATGACACATCTCTTATACAAAAGAAGGTAGATAATTAAAAACTAACGGCTCGAAGGCCGGTCATAACATGACAGTAGATAAAAGAATAAACATGGGATGGTGACCCCACCATCCCGCCCCAAAGTAACATGAGAAACGAGCTAGCACTAGTGCAGAATCGGGCTATTGCTCCGGTTCATAAGACCCTTTAGTGTCGGTTCTGGAAACCCCCGCTTAGTCCCGGCTCAACACGAACTGAGAGCAAAGGCCCACCACGTGGCATGAGTCTGCGTGTAACGTCCCAGACACACCCGTTGGTGGTCGTTACTCCTGGCGGGATCTAGACTGCCCCACAGATCAATACTAGTCTTTTCTGCGCATTTTGTCCTTACTCGTGCACATCTGGGAGCAACTTTTCGATCGGTCACCCATCCTAAAATTACTCCAAGCTAAGCACGCTTAACTTTGGAGTTCTGTCCGGATGGGCTTCCGAAAAGAAGGAATTCCTTATTGATATGAGTAGTCTATCATCCCTATTAAGACATGCTATCACATACACCCTCACTCAGAGAAACCGACGTCTCGTCGGGCCACAAGAACGTTCCCTCTTGGCACATACGTCTGTGCTTCCAGTCCGGCACATGTGACATGCCGCGTGCCACGACGGGTCACAAACGTCAGGCACAACATGTCCGCGCACCTGTCCGCAAACATCTGTGTAACCGCGAGGGTCGGCTCTGATACCAACTTGTAATGCCCCAGACACACTCGCCGGTGGCCGTTACTCCTGGCGGGATCTAGACTGGCCTCATAGTTCAATACTAGTCTTTTCTGCATACTTTGTCCTCACTCGTGCGCACCCGGGAGCAACTTCCCAGTCGATCACCCATCCTGAAATTACTCCAAGTTAAGCACGCTTAATTTTGGAGTTCTGTCCGAATGAGCTTCCGAAAAAGAAGGAATTCCTTATTGATATGAGTAGTCTAACATCCCTATTAAGCCAGACTATCACACCGCGCCGGGGGGCAGGGGGCCTTTAGTCCCGGTTGGTTACACGAACCGGGACTAAAAGTTTTAGGGGTGTAGGGGTTTTTGGTTTTAATTTTCCTGTTAATTTTGTGTTTTCCATTTAATTCTTTTTCATTTCAAATATATCTTACGCTACTATATAATGTACACGTTATGCATATATGTACATATATATATTGAATTTCTCGTAGAACCGATCATATATATATGATCTGCAAATTGTGTGTGTGTATATATATATATATGTATATATATATATATATTATACATGTGTTATATGTGAGGATAATGTACACATAATGTACATATATATATATCGAATTTCTCGTAGAACCGATCATATATGTATATATCGTCGAATTTCTGGCACGACCATCACATATAACACATGTATAATATATATATATATAGACACACACACACACACACAATTTCTCCTATAATTTGCAGATCATTACATGGAGGCATTACAGTGGATAATGGTATTCTCCTTTGGGATCTATGACCTGGTCGAGCAAAAATTCCGCTATTTCCTCTTGAATTGCTCGTACGCGATTCTCTCATAGGAGCTTATCCCGCATCTCCTTTCATGTTTAAAGAAGGAGATCAATATGCATGTATTAGTTGTGTGTATATATATTAGATAATGATGTAAAAATTGTGAATAGTGTTCTCGCAAACGTACGCATTGCTCTCTATCAGTTCTGCTCCTTTCGGGCGTTATCATGCGAATATTCTCGCAAACGTAGTATGCAGATAAATAAGTCCCCGGCGTCTGTTTCAGGGCCTTTACGAGAATAGAATTCAATCAGATAATAATTAATCAAGCATGATAATGGTATTGAAACTAGAATTAAAGAGATGCACGGACATAGCTAGCTAGTACTACTTAATTACCTTGGGTCGCACCCATTTCAGCTGTTGTTTCCATGGGTCGTCAACCTGTTTGATAAACTTTTCTCAAGCCTTGCCCGTCGGCAAAAAAAATGAATAAAGGAATTATTAATTAGTTGATATCAGGAAATGAACTAAAGAGGCCGACATAGCTAGTGCGATAATGATTGAAATTACCTATCAATCATCTCCTTCACGATTGACTATTCATTAGTATCTTTAAATAGTGAGTCTAGTACTTGAACTTTTCCCTCATCAACTTCAATGATTAACAAGATCCAGTGGAAATTGCATCCGCACACGTTTGCATGTATAATTAAGCGGGCATGTGCATAACTCATCAACTACACTTATTAACATCTACTCCCTTCACCCGAAAATACTTGTTGAAGAAATGAATACAAATGGATGTATCTAGAACTAAAATATATTTAGATACATCTAATCCTGGGACAAGTATTTCCGAACGAAGGGAGTATTATGCAAAAACAGAATTTGTAGTATAAGATAGTGTGACTCACCCGAAGTTTTAAGGAAGTAGTATTTCTGGTTGGGTATTTAGTCGCACCAAGAACTCTAGCAAGCTTTTCTATGTGTCTTTTCGGTCCCATTGACGCGTCGATGTCTCTTGATTAATGGTATTGGGTCAATGAACCCAATGCCATAGCGTCCAGCTTTTTTATTTTATACATCTTCATTCTGCATAATACCACAGAAAAGAATATAGTGAGGATAATTACAGGTAATTGTTAATGAGCACTATAGCTAGGTAGAGACTTAAATTATAGAAAGAAACCACTTATAGACAATAGCAACTGACGATAGATTTGTCGAGTGCGTCTTGATTGAATAACTGAAATATTTCTTGAAACTCCGCCCACAGATCTTCTGCATGGTAGTAATGCTCTTCCTTGACTGTCACCATGAGGAAATCTCGATCGGTAGTCTTTACTTCTCTCATGTACCATTGAGAAATTCATACATTCTCACTAATAGACGCGGGATCTCCCTCGGGCTTGACCATAGGTTCGCCGCGGACATATTTCCGTTTTAGTTCCCCCTCTTTAAACGTTTCCATGGGCTCGATCTCTAGGAGTTGATAAACAGTGACACCGGCATCTTCAGCCATCCTTCTATGATCGTCGGTTATTACCAGCTGATTGGCGCCGGTACTCACATGTGTTGGTACAATGAGAGGGGGGGGGGTCGATTGCACCGCCTATTCTCCCAGTTGGGGAACAGTTTTCCCGCTTTTTTTGGTAGCTTCTTGGCTCGAGCTCGAGCTCAACCCCTTCTTTTGTTGTGCTTGATATGACTTCTTGATTTGGCGCTCATAGTCTGAGTCCCTATGCTTGGGAGCTAGTGGTTCAGCCATATGAATAAAGTGGTCAGTGACATGCTTAGGTACTTTCTCCTCTGGCGACGGGGGCGGTTTCGGTCCAAAATGGGCCTTCACTTGGGCCCTCACTTCGGCTTCGTTTTCCACTTCGGTCTGGTGATAAGGCAACCTCGGAAGAGGCTTGAGGCTTGGACCGAATTTGTGTTTCTTGCCCGCTGTTGTAATGCTAGCCGCCGTAGCTGCGGCGCCTCTCTTCCGTTGTTGCTTAGGAGGCGGAGACGGCTGACGCGGTGCCTGACCTGGAGGAGGAATCGGCTGACGCGGTGCCCTACTTGGAGGAGCAGTCGGCTGACACGGTGCCGGACTTGAAGGAGGAGGAGGAGTCGGCTGACGCGGTGGCGGAATTGGAGGAGCAGGAGTCTACTGAGGCGGTGGCTGACTTGGAGGAGCGGGAGTCTGCTGATGCGGTGGCGGACTTGGAGGAGGAGCCGGCTGACGCGGTGTCGGTGGCCTTGCAAAGACAATGCAATCCTTGCTTCGTAGAATGATACGATGTATGGCCTCTCCTAGTGTGCGCTTGTCGTCACCTCCAGGAATGTCAAGCTTTAGCCCCGAATATTGTGCCACCACTTCATCAACCACGACACGAGCATAGCCAGCTGGAATCGAATTGCAATGGAAGGTTACTTCAGGGGGATTTGTATAAGCAACGCCGTCCGCCACCTTCATGGATATGTTCTTAATTTTAAAGTGTAGCTGACAAGTTGTCGTATTTGTGATATCATCCACAAGGTATCTATCCAGCAGTGCATCATCGCCCGGGGCGGAAGCCACACTGCTTCTCGGCATGGATGGGACGGTGCTATCCAATGATGGATCCGCTAGCTGCTACTGCTGAGACCCCCTTTCCTGGCTAAGTGAGTCGATCTGCTACTGCTGCCACTGGAAGGCGAGTGCCAACAGCGTGCCTTGATTCTAGGCCTTGAAGGCGGTCTGCTTCCTGCTTCCTACTTCCTCTTCTCCTCCTCCAGCTTCCTCTTCTTCTCCTGCTGCTTCTTTCTCGCACGGCTTCTGTAGTCGGCGTTCCAGTCCACAAACCCCTCACACCACGGAACAACGCCTTTGACTCATGTTCTTCCCGGGTGTTTAGGATTCTTCAGGGCGCGTGTAAGCTTGTTGTTCTCTCTGTTGGGCGTGAACACCCCTGTTCGAGCCTCTTCTATTGCAACAAGTAAATTAAGGTCAGCTCCTTTAAGACTTGCCCGCTCCAAAACCTCGCCTGTCTTTGGGTCCAACGTCCCCCATGCGCATAGAACCAAGTCCTTGACCTGGGGGGCCAGCTCAATGTAACTGGAGTGACCCCTGCATCCACCATCTGTTGCTCAGCGAGATCCCACTTAGGCCGGGCCACCTCGTAGCCTCTTGGCCCCAGCTTATGCTGCCACTACTTTTTCGCGGCATTGATCTTGTTTATTCTCGACCGTTTCGTAGCTACTTCCGATTCCTTGAATTTCACGAAAGCGTACTAGTGATCTCTTGCCGTCTCCAGTGTTCCCTTGAATTCTAGAGTCTTCTTTCCCCCTTCGACGTACATGATACATCTCCAATGTATCTATAATTTTTGATTGCTCCATGCTATATTATCTACTGTTTTGGACTATATTGGGCTTTATTTTCCACTTTTATATTATTTTTGGAACTAATCTATTAACTGGAGGCCCAGCCCAAAATTGCTGTTTTTTTGCCTATTTCAGTGTTTCAGATAAACGGAATATAAAACGGAGTCCAAACGGAATAAAATCTTCGGGAACGTGATTTTCTCACCGAACGTGATCCAGGAGACTTGGACCCTGCTCCAAGGAACAAAAGAGGCGGTCACGAGGGTGGGGGGCGCCCCCCCTAGGGCGCGCCCCCTGCATCATGGGCCCCTCGTTTCTCCTCCGGCGTACTTCTTCCTCCTATATATACACACGTACCCCCAAACGATTAGAACAGGAGCCAAAAACCTAATTCCACCGCCGCAACTTTCTGTATCCACGAGATCCCATCTAGGGGCCTGTTCCGGAGCTCCGCCGAAAGAGGGCCGTCATCACGAAGGGCTTCTACATCATCCTAGCCCCTCCGATGAAGTGTGAGTAGTTTACCTCAGACCTTCGGGTCCATAGTTAGTAGCTAGATGGCTTCTTCTCTCTCTTTGAATCTCAATACAAAGTTCTCCCCCTCTCTTGTGGAGATCTATTCGATGTAATCTTCTTTTTGCGGTGTGTTTGTTGAGACCGATGAATTGTGGGTTTATGATCAAGTCTATCTATGAATAATATTTGATTCTTCTCTGAATTCTTTTATGTATGATTGGTTATCTTTGCAAGTCTCTTCGAATTATCCGTTTGGTTTGGCCAACTAGATTGGTAGTTCTTGCCATGGGAGAAGTGCTTAGCTTTGGGTTCAATCTTGCGGTGTCCTTACCTAGTGATAGAAGGGGCAGCAAGGCACGTATTGTATCATTGCCATCGAGGATAACAAGATGGGGTTTATTTCATATTGCATGAATTTATCTCTCTGCATCATGTCATCTTGCTTAAGGCGTTACTCTGTTTTTAACTTAATACTCTAGATGCATGCTGGATAGCGTTCGATGAGTGGAGTAATAGTAGTAGATGCAGAATCGTTTCGATCTACTTGTCACAGACGTGATGCCATTATACATGATCATGCCTAGATATTCTCATAACTATGCTCAATTCTGCCAATTTCTCAACGGTAATTTGTTCACCCACCGTAGAATACTTATGCTCTTGAGAGAAGCCACTAGTGAAACCTATGCCCCCCGGGTCTATTCTCATCATATCAATCTCCATCACTTTAATCTTGCTTTGCTTTTTTACTTTGCTCTTACTTTTTTACTTTGCATCTTTATACCAAAAATACCAAAAATATTATATCTATCAGATCTCACTCTCGTAAGTGACCGTGAAGGGATTGACAACCACTAATCACGTTGGTTGCGAGTAGCTATCGCTTTGTGCAGGTATGAGGGACTTGAGCGTGGGCTCCTACTGGATTGATACCTTGGTTCTCAAAAACTGAGGGAAATACTTACGCTACTCTGCTGCATCATCCCTTCCTCTTCGGGGAAAACCAACGCAAGCTCAAGACGTAGCAAGAAGGATTTCTGGCGCCGTTGTTGGGGAGTCTACGCAAAAAGTCAACATACCAAGTACCCATCACAATCCCTATCTCTCGCATTACATTATTTGCCATTTGCCTCTCATTTTCCTCTCCCCCCAATTCACCCTTGCCGTTTTATTCGCCCTCTCTCTCTCTATCCTCCCTCTCTATTTGTCTCTTGTTTGCTCGTGTGCTTGTTTGCTCGCTTGTCGTTATGTCTGAAATTGGGGATTTTATCGCCAATATGGACGATAGCAATATCATGGAAAATTTTGATGCTCCTACTAAAGAACCTACCATCTTTCATACAAAAAAGTTCCGTGTTGGTAGTGGCAATATTATTGGAAAAGGAGTTATTCAAGATTTCTTTACTTGTGCCGGTGCTTTACCTTCTATGGGTAGTTCTATCCTTCATAGAACTAGTAGTCTTGCGGACGCTATTGCCATGCTTATAGTTGAACTTGAAAGACAATTCATGCACATGCATCCTTCCATACAAAGGATTTTTTTGGAATTTTCTAATATTGAGCATTCTTCTGTTAAGCGTGCAGCTACTATCTTTTTGGCTCATGAGTTTAGATTCATAATAAGAGAAGCCAAAGAAATCTTTGCGCATTATAGGGTGGACGCTTGCCGTCCTCCCATAGAAACTATCCTCTTTGATCAAGAAGAAATAATGCATTTTCAATCTCTAGATTATGTTGCTTTCAATGAAAATCTTAGAAGAAGGGTTCCTACCAATGTTTTAGTTGATAGAATTTCTGAACTTAATTATCATTTGGCTATTCGAAATAATGAGCTAGGATATTCTCTTGAATATAGGCTTACAAAGTTCTGTCAAAAGAATGCTTATAATGATGAATTGGTTGTGCATTACGAAGGACCAAAGGAGGAACCTATACCTCCCAAGGTTGATCTTGGGGACTTTTGTCCCGTTAAATTTAGTCCTTTTGATTACTTTTGCTTGCCTCAAAGAAAGCTTGCTGCCGAACATAGAGAATATGAAATAAGTTTCAATAATCTATCTTACTATTATGGCAATACCTAGATATATCCTCGCTTTTATGCCTAGCTAGGGGCGTTAAACGATAGCGCTTCTTGGGAGGCAACCCAATTTTATTTTTATTCCTTGCCTTTTTCTCCTGCTTAGTAATAAATAAATTATTTAGACTCTTTTTTGGTTGTGTTTTTTGTGTTTAATTAGTGTTTGTGCCAAGTAGAACCGTTGGGAAGACTTGGGGAAAGTCTTGTTGAACTTGCTGTAAAAAACAAAAAATTTAGCGCTCACGAGAACTGCTTTCATTTTTATTTGAAGATATTTAGTTAATTATTTTTGAATATGATTAATAGATAAATTCCTCATGTCCAGAAATTTATTTTAGAATTTTTGGGGTTCCATATCTTGCGCTAGCTAGAGATTACTACAGACTCTTCTGTTTTTGACAGATTCTGTTTTTCGTGTGTTATTTGCTTATTTTGATGAATCTATGGCTAGTAAAATAGTTTATAATCCATAGAGAAGTTGGAATACAGTAGGTTTAACACCAATATAAATAAAGAATGAGTTCATTACAGTACCTTGAAGTGGTCTTTTGTTTTTTTTCGCTAACGAAGCTCACGAGTTTTCTATTTTGAGTTTTGTGTTGTGAAGTTTTCAAGTTTTGGGTGAATTCTTTTGATGGATCATGGAACAAGGAGTGGCAAAAGCCTAAGCTTGGGGATGCCCGTGGCACCCCCAAGATAATCCAAGGACACCAAAAAGTCAAAGCTTGGGGATGCCCCGGAAGGCATCCCCTCTTTCGTCCACTTCCATCGGTAATTTACTTGGAGCTATATTTTTATTCACCAACGTGATATGTGTTTTGCTTGGAGCGTCTTGTATTATTTGTGTCTTTGTGTCTTAGTATGCCACAATAATCCTTGTTGTAAACACCTTTTGAGAGAGCCATACATGAATTAAATTTTGATAGAATACTCTATGTGCTTCACTTATATCTTTTGAGCTAGATAATTTTGCTCTGTGTGCTTCACTTATATCTTTTGAGCTAAGTAGTTTGCTCTATGTGCTTCACTTATATCTTTTGGGTGTTATAATTTTGCCCTATGTGCTTCACTTAGATCTTTTAGAGCACGGTGGTGGATTTGTTTTAAAGAAACTATTGATCTCTCATGCTTCACTTAAATTATTTTGAGAGTCTCTTAATAGCATGGTAATTTGCTTAATAATAATATGCTTGGTATTCAAGATTTGTGAAACTTTCTTTTGAGTGTGTTGAATACTAAGAAAAGATTGAAGCATGATAATTGTTTTGAGATATGGAGGTGATAATATTAAAGTCATGCTAGTTGAGTAGTTGTGAATTTAAAGAATACTTGTGTT